CCAAGTCGGGCAATGGCCCGATGTCAAATGTCACCAAGTCTCAATCCCTCAAATCTCTCGCTCTCGTGTCACCAGAGCAAGAAGAAGAGCTCTGGAGGGTAGGAGGAGGAGCGATGGAGGATGGAGGATGGAGGACAGGAGGACAGGAGGAGAGAAGGAGGAGAAGAAGAATCATCTCTCTCTCTCTCTCTCTCCCTCAGGTGGCGGACCAGATACTGACCAGCTTAACCGCTACCAGAATACTATCTCATACTACCTGCCGGACTCAGGGCAGAGCAGCTATAAATAGCACTGGTCCAGTATCGACCGGGTGATGGAATCTGCCGGCACGCTGAATTAGCCCTGATTTCACCCCGTGTCTGTTGCCCATGGAAGGATTATGTCTCAGCTCCTGCAAGCTCCAAACAAGCACGTCAGTGACCAACACAAGACACGAAACAAGGAAAACAAGGTCGACGACACAATGGACAAGAAAATGCAGTACTTGTAGTCTATGGTAAAATATGGTTATCGGTCACCCCCGTGCCTAGACTACTGGCTTGCCAACAACCAGGGCTAAGCCGGGGTCCATGGCTTCAACCATTAGAAAGAGGGAGGGGTCTCTTCCTAACCTAAACTACCTCCTAACACAAGCATATCATGACAGTGCCACAACAACTCAGGTAGCCTAGTGGCTTTGACGGGTACTGGCAGGTCTAGCTTCAGTAACGGGCGCGCATAGCCACATTGATGCGAATGGCAGCCAACTAATGGCCTCAGATACGCATAGCGGCGCCCAAACTACTTATGATACCAGGATCTGCAAAGCTCTAATGGCAGCTGTCACTATGGGTGCCATGATACACATGCAGTACTAACACATACATCCTCACTCTTACCCAATCCAATCCGATCAACAAACTATAACCCCATCATCAACACATCAGTTAGGTAAAAAATAAAATTGTCATTTTTGCCTCGATCATCTGCCTGCCAATGACCAGAGTTCATTTACTAGGACCCCGATAGGAAGCCAAGATCCCCGACAACGGCGCCACCTATCGAGCACATCGGTCATTCATGGGGACCCTCTCGGCCGTGTCACATAGGATTTTGGCATTCGGGAAGCAAAGCGTTTTTAGGAGCACCGTCGCTCCGACCGAGTGCACTAGCTATACCTCTCACCTGTCCCTATAATAGGATAGGGCCTCCCCAGGCATAACTTACCTCCACCTATGGGAGTTGTCACCACCCCTTGGTGGCTTATCCCCGCTGTATTGGCCCACATGTGATAGCTCTTACTTGCGGTTGCAGAGGTGGATCAGTCAAGGGCGTTTCCGTTCGCTATAGCATAGGGGGTACGCGCAACTAACGCCAAAATCTAACCTGTGCGTAAATTGACGCTTTGGGCGCTGATCTCCCAAGCACGACGACCAGTCTAACCACGCGATGCTCTGTCTCAATAATCCTAAACTCAGACACAACTCGCGCGTAATCCTTTTTAACTTCCCAGACCCATAACTCGCACTGCGTGCGAGCAACGAACAACGACTCACGTGGAATCGTATAAACAAGGCGTCTATGCAATTGAAGGTTATAGGGACTAACCATGCATGGGTACGCAATTCATTGTCACGGCCACGCTTTATCCGCTGTCCATAATTGTACGACCCGTTGTCGGTTCAGGGGTTGTGCACGACACATGAGTACCGAATACGAGATGTCACTCGGGAAGCTTCCCTTGTGACTCTGGACGATTAAGAGACAAGTCGTTCATCAACCCCAACAGTGGTAGCGACTAGGCCGTTCTCACCCTAAGAGTGAACTCATGTTTTGGGAGCTCTGTAGGTGGGGTCGTCAAGGGGTTTGACTTTGGCAGTCGTAGACTCAATCGTCAAGTGTCAAGGGGTTTGATTTTGGGAGCCCGGATGTGAACTGTTGCAAAGTCCGCAAGTCTTCAGCGTGCGGTCCTACATCAATTGATTTGGACGTTCGGAAACCACGCGGTACGCAACACGAAACATAGTGACCCCAAGTTTTGCGCGCAGACCTCGCCTTATAACGGACGTGTGGAAGCATAACTTTTATCGTGCGAGAGGCACAATGCAAGCTCGAGCATAAACGTATAAAAGAGATGGGCGCACAAACAAAGCCATAATAGTATAATACTCAGCCATGCACATCCATGCGACTGGTTATCACGGCGACGTTTCATGCGCTACCCATAACTGTGCAACCCTCTTATAGAACTTATGGTTGCATGCGACACTCAAATGTGGGCTAATAAGCGCTTTGAGGGGTTAATTCCTCGACGCTAAACGGCCATGCGCGCGGTTGTAATCTCTCTTACCTTTCACGCTTGGCATGGAAGACTCGTGAGAGTTGCAAAACGGTAGGAAGACTTTCACTCTCAGCGAACAATAGTCTCGGCTCACTTACCACGGACGCTCTCGTCCAACCATAGAAATAAACAAGTAAAGCTTTGCCGACACCCTACCCCCTTCTCTCTTATCCCTTCCTAAGTGCCCATCCAAAGCGCAACGACGTGGAGCCTCCATAATAGGCCTCAGTCACTATCAATCCAGTACCAACGCAACCTTATGCCGTGCCCTCGACTACCACGGTCGAGCTAAGAAAGTGGGTAAATCCTTGCAACAAAAGAGAGTTGCAAGTACACAGGTAAGTAAGCGCAGCAAAAGGTAAGTAAGCGCAGCAAACTAAGTAATAGAAGGAAGGGTGACGGGGAATACAAGGTGCGCAACGGACAATACAGCGGGCGAATCAAAGAAAAGCGGGCGGACAAGGCGATAGACAGTTTAGCGGGAGTAAGTAGAACGGGGGCAGGGAGCGCATCGGATAAAGGTGGAGTACAGAAGAGAGTACAAAACAAGGGCGCGGGAGGAGGTAAAATAACGAGGCGCTTCATAGTCGGCAGCGACAACAAAGAGAGGAGAGAAGTGGAGGAGAGGAGGAGGAGGGGGGGGGGAATAGTAGAAGGAAGGGCGACGGGGGATACAAGTTGAGCAACGAATATTATAGCGGGTAAATCAAAGAAGAAGCGGGCAGACAAGGCGACAGACAGCTCAGAGGAAGTAAGTAGAATGGGGGGAGGGAGCGCATCGGGCAAAGGCAGTGTACAAAATAAGGTGCGCAGGGGGAGGCAAACTACGAGGCGAGTCAAAGTCAGTGGTGATAGCAAGGAGAGGAGAGGAAGTGGAGGAGGGGAGGAGGGGCGGAGGCAAACTACGAGGCGATCCATAGTCGGAAGAGACAGCAAGGAGAGGAGAGGAGGAGGGGAGGAGGAGGGGCGGGGGAACAGGGTGATGGGGAGAAAGAAAGAACGGATGGCGGGAAGGGGAAGTGGGAGGGCTCGGTGAGGATCTATAGGAGCACGGTTGAATCTGGACAAGAGGGAGAGAGGCAAGGGGGGGGAGGGCGGCTGGAAAGGGGAGACGAGGGGAAGGCCAGGGGCACGCAGGAAGGGGGGGAAGGGGGGGGAAGGGACATACAAAGGCAAGACTACACTAAGGGTGACGGGTGGCAAAAGGAGGGAAGGACGGGACAAGGTTTTGGAAGAAATCTGGCAAACGTTGGTGAGGAATTCAAAAAGAATAAGGGCCAACCCCCAAAATTGCTGAATTGCTAAACATTATAAAAATAAAAACAAACAATAAAAGCAAAAAACCGGCATGCCCGACCAACCCGAAATTTGCTGAGCTGCTAAACCTTGTAAGAATAAAAACAAACAAAAAACAAAAAACAAAAAACCCTATTGAAAAACGAACTCTGAGACAAGAACGGGGAGATCACAGTAACAGCATCATGAGACCGAATAATAGACTGCAGCGGGCACACAGAAGACTGGACTCCATGCTATTCTACAGTGGGGCTATGCGACAATTTGCTGACGAACAGCTGCGGCGAAAACGCTGGGCACATCAGAACAACCCCCCCAAAACCCCTCTACACCAGCTCGAGGACCTCGGCGGGGTGACACAGCAGATGGGGGATACTGGGGTACTGACGGAGGAGGAGAAGCAGATGGAATCCCGGAGGCAAGCCTCACACAGGGAGAAGGACCCCAATGATCAACCGCAACTTACCTGGGCAGATAAACTCCGTAATCCGCACCAGGGGCAAACTCTTACCATCCAACGGGGCAAGGGTAGCCCGCGAGCCGGAAACTTGGACATCCCTTTGGACGGCCTACCCCCGGCCCGGGCCTTTTTTCGGTCGAAGTTTCTGCTTCCATCAGAAACACGGGTGGTGACGCAAGGTGGAAAGCAAGTCATGGTCAAAGCCTACCCCAAAAATGGCATTGAGTGCCGGGATGAGATCTACAGCAAGCATGCCAATGACTGGGTGTTCCATGACGACACTGCCTTCAAATCAGTCAACGATAAAGTAAAATGGATCGGCCATCGGTTAGAGGTGCTGAAAAAAAGTGCTGAATTGGCACGTGACCATTTCCTGATCCAGCCGGTCTCCAACACATTGTTCACAGTGCTGTGCATGAATGAATCAGATAAAACTGCGATTGAGGGGTGGAAGCATCTCCGCTGCGAGAGATCGGAGGTCAGGATCTACCCGTGGGCGCCACAACGACGACTGGGGCCGGAAGAGAGGAGAGCATAGCTGATGCAGGACCCACTGGGTAGAATTCCGTCACATCCCAGTCGAAATCCAAGCGGCTTTTGTGTATGACTTCGGATTGCTGTACGACATAGTCGCTTTTATAGACCCTCTCCCCTCCTTTGTGGCTAAGAGGGATGATTACTTAATGTTGGCACTGGATTATCCCCAGGGCCAACCGTTCTCTCTGGATGATGTGATCCCGTACCGGGTGGGGGGGAAAGAGTACATGATCCACCCAGCACACAAGCTAAGGTCGTGGTGCCACAAATGCAAGGCATACGGCCACCTGAGCACGGAGTATGCCTGCCCGCTGCATCCGCAAAAAAGGAGACTGTTGAGAGACCCGGTGAAGACAACCCATTGGAGAACGGTGGACCCGGGACACGAGGGATGTGTGCGCCGCGGCTCCCCTAAAGATCTTTTAACACAGGAAAACACAAGCACACGTACACACATCCCATGTAGCGAGGGTTGGAACTGTACTAGCAGTCATGCCACTGGTGGTCCCTGGGTTAGCGGGTGTGTAGAGTGGGTTTTCTGGCGGGTCTATATTGAGGGACATATGAAGGAAGGCATGCCAATTGGGTGGAAATGGGAGAAAGTTGGGGAACCGGACTGGGCCTCCCGCCCCCCGAACACATGGGTCCCACCGGCCCCGGTGGAGGAGAAGGTGCAGGAGACCCCCCTGCAAGGACACACGGATAGTACAGATTGGAAAATGGTGGGGAAGAAAGGGGGAAAAGGAACATGGGTTCAAAAACAACAAACGGAACCCGGGCCGTCGACAGACAATAACAAGCTGCCCCGAGCCACCCCGGGTCCTGCAGCAAGACAGTATATTGCGGAAGAAAAGTACACAGACGGAATCGTGGTCCAAACGCAGCAACCCACCGCCTCTGAGCAAACACAACGAAGCAGGACTGAAGTGGCAATCAAAACAACACCCAAACAGGTGGGACAAGAGCGAGCAGAGGGACAACCGGAGGGGGGGGGGGAGGTCGGGGAAATGGAGGTGGAGCCAGCACCCAAACAGCTAGGATATGATGGAGCAGAGGGGCAGCAGGAGGGGCAGGAGGAAGCGGGAGGAATGGAAGCGGAGTCAGGGCCACTGGGGGAGGAGAGGGGCACAGCAGAAAGGAACGCTCAGGCCGGACCGATGATGGACATCAACCCCTTCCAGGCAGCCTTCGACTCAGAACCAATGGAAGTCGACCCTCTTCCGGTTAATGTTAGTACGGCGCCCGAGGGGTTAGACACGGAACAAAAGCCGGAAGGTGAGGAAGAAGGGGCACCACCACAACACCTACCCACGGAACAAAAACTGATAGCCATCGCGGAATGGCTGATGGGGAATTTGAAAGCAAAACATGGCCCCCTCACCGACGAGTTCTGGGACAAAACATATTTAGAATTGTTTCCAATGCTTGACGCGAGCGCCTCTCTTAAGACTGTACTAGAAAAGGGCCTGCAGCCTGGGGTGAGGTGGACGGAGGCCTGGCACAGACTAACGACAATAGTATTCGCACGATTTCATCCACCACGACCAGCAGCATCAACAAAAACAGAACAGAACAGGGACAGGACTGAGGCAGAGGAGGATCACAAACAAAGAACACAAGACCCCCTGGAATTACAACAACCAGCGCCACCACCAGGCCCGGACTCCCCGGACCCTGATGAGAACGGGCCGCTAGATCTGGTGCGGAAAAGAAAACTCAGACATCTGGTTGAGATGGGGCGGGATTCTGGCCCGTTGTCGCAGAACGCCATGCTGCTCATCCCCGTGCGGAAGAGGAACAAGAAATGGGAGGTGGGGCTGCTCCCGGAAGGGAATGGCAAACGGGGGCCATGATGCTACAAGGGTGGTCGTCCTTTTGGGCATCACCACAAAACAGTCAATCTGATGCGGCGGCAGGAATTTTACAGATGGAATTGGAATCCCACATTACTGGATCCCTGCCACCAGGAGCGTAGGCCATGGCCATGATCACAACAGGCCCCGCAAAAATAACACAGAGAGACATCTATATACGATACAACCCAACCAAGGACGTGGGCATGACATGGCACACCCGCGCCCAAATGTTGAATCTGCAAACGGTCAAGATTGGACGCAGCGATACGTGGACGGAACAAGATGTCCAGAGATGTTTATGTGTGCTCCTGAGACAGAGCCAGGACTGGGACCGGGACCAGTTGCCGTGGTCCCGCCTGTTAAAAGAATACATACACATACGCCCATATAAAAATCAAAGGGTATAATGACTAATGCTAACACGATAGACCCGGTTAGGGCACTGTATGGGAAAGACCGCATCTGGAATCAATGCAGGAGAGCGGCTGACCTGGATCTGCGCTCGATGAATGTGAACGGCCTGGCCTCATGCAAACCAGAAAAACAAAATGCAATATGGGACTTGATGAAAGGTGTAGGGGGGAGAAACTGGCCAGATATCGTCTGTGTTCAGGAAACACACCTGATGGACACCCCTGAGCACAACCGCACCCACAAGATGATCTGGCCATACCAAGCCTTCAGGGCCTATGCCCCGAAACCCGGAAGTGCAGGGGTGGCCATCTGGATTCCCCCGGAGTCCAGGGCGGACCCGGTCCACTGGGTGATGGACCAGGAGGAAGGCAGGTGGGTGTCCATCCTGGTCACATTGGAAATCGAAATCGTACGTATAGTGTGCATCTACGCCCCCAACACGGTAAGGGAAAGAAAAATCTTCTTTGAAAATATTAAAGCACAGATACTGGAAGGGGTCCCGATCATTATAGCAGGGGACTACAATGCAGCCCCGGACCGATGGATGGATAGATGGCGGACCCCCTCCCCAGCCCCGGTGTATGTGGAGGAGGATGAGCGGATGATAAACGACTTATGCCTCTCCCTGAAAATCTTCGACTCCTTCCGGAAATTGAACCCAGACACAAGATTCTACTCATGTCTACGGAAGACTGGTACTGAAGGTCAGTCAAAATCTTGGATTGACTTAATCCTTATCTCGGAAGACATGGGGGAATCGCTGCTTTTAGCAACGATCTTGCCTGCAAGTCCATACCCGGGCCTTGACCACAAAATGTGCACGGTTACTCTATCTTTTCGAAAGAAACCAGACTGGGGTCCGGGCTTCTACAAGCTCAACACTTGCATCTTGAAACAAAAAACCTTTCACAGTTACATTACAGACTGCTGGAAATACTGGCACATGCAAAAACAACACTTCCAACAGGCAATAGACTGGTTCAACAACGGGCTATTCTATCTGGGTAAAAAATGCCAAGATTACTCTAAACTATTGGCAGCCAAGAAACATCAACAGGAAATGGAACTACACGAGCAGCTGCAACAACTTAAGCACCAGGACCAGTCGAATGACAGCCAAAATTTGCAAGCAGAAGAATGCTCAGAGATTCAAACGCTCAAGAACCGACTTTAGGCTTTCGCCACGCAACGCTCGGAAGGAATACGAATAAGAGGACGATTGACAAGGTACCAAACAGAAGGAACAATGGATAGGAATTTTTTTAGCATGGCCAGGGTGCGCTCGCACAGAACTACCATCGAGGAAATTTATGATCCACAAACCGGACATCAAGATATCGTCACCTCCACCCCCCACTGCGCACAAATAGCTCGATCATTTTTCCAAGACCTGTTTACCTCAAGGTGCGTCCGGCAGGAGAGAAATGCTAGGGAAAAAGATATTGCAGAGTTCTTGACTCCACTAGAGAAGACCCTGACAGGCCAGCAGAAAATAGACCTGGACCAACCCCTGTCCAAGGAGGAGATATGGATGGCGATGATGCAGATGGAAGAAGAGAAGACGCCGGGCATCGATGGGTTCCCAAAGGAATTTTGGGAAACCTTCTGGACGCAGATGGCCCCGGATCTCATGGAGTATTATCAGCAGGTGTGGAAAACAGGGACAATGGGGGAGTTGGTGGGCCAGGTGAGCTTGATACACAAAAAGGGAGATAAGATGGACATCCGAAACTACAGGCCAATAACCTTGCTCACAGTTGTCTATAAAATGCTAGCAAAGGCCCTTGCGAACCGGCTGCTCCCCGTCCTTGTAGATATTATCCATCCAATGCAAACCGGGTTCATCAAAGGCCGCAGGATCTAGGATAACATACTATTAGTTAATGAACTACTCAAGCTGACAAGACAGGACAAACAGAACGCTGTTGTGGTCCTTATAGATTTTGAAAAAGCTTACGACCATGTAGACTGGCTATTCCTGGGCAAATGTATGGAAAAAATGAACATAGGGCCAATTTTCCGATGTTGGACTGCGGTGCTACACCATAACGCAACCACGTGCGTTCAGGTCAATGGAAGGATGACACCACCCTTCCCACTGCAGCGGTTGGTCCGTCAGGGGGACCCTCTGGCACCCTTCCTGTTCATAATAGTGATGGAGGCACTGGCAGCAAATCTCCGAACTAACAAAGACCTGAGGAAACTGCAGATCTCTTCCATCCCAGAAGAAGCAATCCCGATCTACTCAATGTTCGCGGACGATCTGACACTCGTAGTCGACGGCGACTCGACGCAACTGCAGCGAACATGGAAGAGATCAGGCGATTGTTCGATCGACTTACAACAGTTTCAGACATGACGGTCAACTGGGGGAACAAGACCCTGGGCTGGTGGATTCACCACCAAGGGGTCCGCCCCCCTGAGCTTCTGCGGGTCAAGTGGCTGCCAGACACGGCCCCGGTCAGGGTACTGGGAATCATGTTAACGGCACTGGGCAGGCCCGCATCGAACGACGAATGGGTCCTGAAGCTCGCTCTAGAGAAACTGGCACATTGGAAAGACCATCATACCTCTCTTATTGGCAGGGCATTGGCAATCAATAGCATGGTATTGGCGGCCCTCTAGTACAAATCTGCAATATGGGCCCTCAGTAAGGAGGCCATTCGGTCACTAAAGCGACAGGTAATAGCCCTGCTATGGAGAGGAAATGGAGAACTTCCAAATGTTATTAGCAGGGTAGCCTGGAGCTCGGTGATTCAACCTAAAGACAAAGGAGGCCTAGGGATCTTGGACCCACATACTCAGCTCAAGGCATTACTAATCCAATGGATCCGGAGACTGTTATTCACCCAACGCCTCCCATGGCATGCCCTTGCTTTGGAACAAATAGCTAGGCTTGCCCCGCAGGCACCGCCGGGAGTCAACCCACTAACCTAGCTTGAGGACCGTTACTGGACAATACCATGATCCCGTCCGGATTTGGCCAGGGATGACTTCTGGACCCGAGTTCTGCACGCCTGGCGACAACTCCCGCTGCTCGATAAACCCCCACCAACCAGATGGGAAGAGGTGGCACGCCAACCCCTTTTCGGGAGAGGTGGATAACAGACCGGAACAGTAGAGTGTACTGCAATTTAGGCACCCCATGGAACAACTGGGGAAAAAAAGGTATAACCAGAATAAAAGATATATGGGACACACAAGTGGGAGACTGGAAGACTGCACAACAACTCAGGGCCACGCTCAAGTATTGTCACAAAGTGGAAGAACACATTGAAACCTTGATCTTTGCCATTCCCCTGGATTGGGTCCGTATCCTGCGCAGAGGACCGCGGTTGGCAGAAGGGGACTGGGTAGCGGCCCCGGGCGACCCGGAGAGCGTAGGCGACGTGGTAGAAGTGCGTGCAGATGAATCCTCGATCGCTCTCTTCCACATTGGCAGGAACAACGTGCTCACCCAGTACACCCCGGAAGTGATGAGATGGTGGAGGAACTCTGACCTGCACAGGATCCGTGTGATACAAGACAAAGAGGCATGGATCGCATATCAGCCAGACACACCCGTGACTGAGCTCCCGATTGATCCCGAGGAGTGGCAGTGGTCCCCCCAGCGGAAGCGCAGCAAAGGGGACAACCTGAAGCTGTACACCTTGACGGTGAAAGCCGCTTACCGGCTGCTGCGACCAAAAGTAAATATAAAAGAAAAGGTGAAGGACCGGTGGAGGTCTCACCTGAATATAGGAACTGAAGTAATTTGTCCCATCCAATGGTTCTCCGCCACAAAGTCCAGGCCGACGAAGATGGCCTTGCTGCAATGGCAGATAGAACAGCGCTGCCTACCCACCAACGACTGGCTGATCGACCGCACATATCTGGAGCAGAAGGGACGGGCGCTACCATGGTGTAAGTCGTGCCACATCGCCTTCCCCTCCCGAAGAATCCCGGAAACAATAGAGCACATATTCATGCAGTGTCCGGGAGCCGTGCTCACATGGCGGTGGTGGGATAGAATATGGACACAGTTAGCCACAGGTTCCAACTGGCCATGGGACTAGAGAGCCATATTGTGTGAAACATGGTCCTCCCCTACTGACAACACTTTTGAAAACAACATGTTCAAGCTGGGAAGGAGAGCTGTCATGTGGGCCCTCTGGAGAAAACGCTGTATCTTGGCAATAGAGGGGGTTCGCATAGCTGGGGAGGAAGTAACAGACATGATAAAACAGTTCATCCAACAAGAGCTTAGGGCACAGTGGCAAAAAGTAAAAAACCAATTGGATCTGTTTCAGACATAAAACAAGCAATTCAACAATTCTCGGGGGATTGGTTGGGAAGTGAGAAGGGGGGCTGGTTCGCCTCCGTTCAATGGGACGGCGTACCTGCTCAGGAATGCCACCAAGACGAGCTCAGGAAAGATTATTCTATCAGCTTCAGAGATTGGACCACGGTGGGATAGGAGATCCCGCTGCGACCACCCATCGATTTCCCTGATCCGTTCCCGCCCCACCAGCTGGCAATGGTCAACATGCAATGGTATGGCGCAGAGTGAGCGACGTGGATCTGACGGTCTGATGCAGACGGAAGAAGCGGCAGCGGACTGAAGCGGGTGAGGCGCTTTTCCCTAGATAGCAGTAGATAGGGTGGGGGAAAAGGTCTTCTGAAACCAATAGGGTTGATCTTCATCAAAATTCGGAAGTGGGGGGGCCAGGAAGAGATAGCAGAGATCTGGCGCCTGGTTCAGGGTGAAGAGGCTCCCCCCCTCCTGCTCAGTCAATCCCCTGGTCTTCAGGGTAATCAATGATGGCAAGATCATTCTATATGTTTTTCTGAGGTGACTTGATGTGACTTGAATTTTGCCTATGTAAGGGACGCTGGACCCGGTTTCCAACAGGTGCTGCTCCCCACCAATAGATGGAGCCCCCCCAGGTGCTAGCGGTGTTTGCTCTTACCAGCACCGCTAGCACTGACGGGTGTTGCAACAAAAAAAA